ACACACACACACATACATACATACATGTGTATGTATGTATATATGTGTGTATATATACATATACATAGCAATAGCACTTAGACTTATATAAAGCTTCATAGTGCTTTACAGCCCTCTCTAAATGGTTTACAGAGTCAGCATATTGCCCCCAACAATCTGGGTCCTCATTTTACCCACCTCGGAAGGATGGAAGATTGAATCAACCTTGAGCCTGATGAGATTTGAACTGCCAAATTGCAGTCAGCTGGCAGTCAGCAGAAGTAGCTTGCAGTACTGCACTCTAACCACTGTGCCACCACATGTATAATTTTTATGATTGAGAGTTGGTCAGTTACCTTGATGGTAACATGGGTGGCCAATAAAATAACATTAACTAAATAAATAATTTAAGCATTCATTTTATTCTCCCTGTAATAAAAGACAAATGTAAAAACAATTAGATATATCAGAAGATTAAAAGATTTGCTGAGTTGTGAAGAAGTTGCTGGTCATTGGCTTTTCATTGCAGACCAGAGGTGGTATTCAGCTGGTTCGCACCAGTTCGGGCGACATGGTAACAAGAATTTGGTGTGGGTCGCAGAACTGGTAGTGACTTCTAGCTAGCCATGCCCCTGAACTGATTCCCCGGTTGCCCAAATCTTCCACACCCCTCTCTGCCCCAGTAGAGGGGAGAAAACAAACAGAAAGCCAAAGGCTTTCTCCTTCCCTTTTGGGGCTCTTCCGCACCTCTCTCCCATAGCCACGCTGCCCCCAATGCTGCTGCCCCCCCCCCACGTCACCGCTGCTGCTGCTGTTGTGCCCCGAAAAGTTTTTCCATGATCTGGGGCTGCTTCCCATAGTCGCGCCGTGCCCACCCACCGCCGTCCCTACCCCCCTCACCCATGTGCTTTGAAAGGGATGTTCCGGGGTGCTGCTTTCTTCATTGTCCCGCCGCTCGCTGCTCTGGATTTCACCCAGTAAGTTCTTCCCAGAAAAGGTGTGTATGTGTGAGATAAAGACAAGGAAGGAAAGGGAGGAAGGGCAAGAAGGAAAGAGCAAGAAAGGAAGAAAGAGGAAGGGAGAAAGAGGAAGGGGGAGAAAGAAAGAGAGAAAGAGAGAAAGAAAGAGAGAAAGAAAGAAAGCAATCAAGAAAGAAAGAAAGGGAGAGACCTATTGCAGAGGTCCCCAAACTTGGTAACTCTAAGATTTGTTGACTCCAACTTTAATAGCATAGCTGGCTGAGGAATTCTGGGAGTTGAAGTCCACAAGTCTTAAAGTTGCCAAGTTTGGGGACCTCTGATCTATTGCTATGGGAACTGTTTAGGCTGCTGCTGGTGTTTCTTCCTTGTTTCCTGGTTCTCTTTTCCACTGAACGGCTGAATATAGGCCATAGCCCGGAATAGTGAGGTTGGAAGACATCTTGGTAGGGGGAGATCTTAAGAAAACACAGGAATGCAATGCCCTTGTAACGCATGACACCAGTCACTATATGAAAGTCCCAAAGCCAAAGTCAAAACAAAGATCTCTCCAGCAGGCATTGGGAGCTGAGGAACACTTTTCTGTGGTTTTTTCCTCAATGTTAAATCAAATGGTGATCCCCAGAGTGATATACAGCAGGTTCTGACCAGTTCTGGAGAACCGGTAGTGGAAATTTTGAGTTTGGAGAACGAGCAAATGCCACCTCTGACTGGAGGTTTTACAGTGTCCTTCCTCTGCCACACCCACCAAGTCACACCCACAGAACCAGTAATAAAAAAATTTGAACCCATTACTGGTGATCACTGCTGTAGCTACACTCCTGCTGGCATGGTTGTCATTTCTCTACAGTTTATAACAACCAGCATTCATTTAGTTATTGGTTGTGCAATTCAGACAATTGTAGTAACTCTGACTTTCTTGCTGCTCGTAACTGGTGCCGTTTCAAGAAATGGTATTTTCTTACTTTCTTATTGTTGTGAATCTTCCATTTCAAGCAGATAAAACCCACAACAACTACAGCTATTCCCATGATTACACAGATGATTACAATGATGTTTGGCTGGTAAGCTGTGGAAGAAAAAGACAAAAGAGCTGAAAATCAAATGACTGCGAATTCCAGAGAGCTGCAAGTATATTAGGACTTCCCACCCACCCCCATACCATTCCCTCAACACACAAACACACACCGTGTGTATTTTGGAAAGGGAGTGTTCTAGCTTTTATAGGGGAGACAAAATACTATATATACAAATTGCAACATGTACTGTAAATCAGTGGTTTTAACTCTCCCGAACTTTAAGATGCGTAGACTTCAACTTCCAGAATTCTCCAGTTAGGGGAATACTTCATCCCTAGTTTCAAAGTTTTGCTGAGTCTCAATCTGTCTTGCTTTCATTGTTTTGGTGTGTGCCTTCCACTTTTTCTTGACTCTTGGCAACAGAGAAATCCCTGTAGATTTCATGGAAAGATTTTCAGAAGTGGCTTGCTATTGCCTTCTTGCTAGGGCAGAGAAAGACTGAATGGCCCAAAGTCACCCAGGTGACTTTGAGCTTTAAAGCAAGATTAGAACTCAGACTCTTGATTTTTATCCTGGTAGCTTAACCAAATGCTGTTTCCTTTTAGGCAAACTTAACTTGCAAAAAGCGAGTCCCTTGCTGAGATTCCTCACATTTTAAGAAAGGTTCTAGGTTAAAAACTCTGAACTGGGTTGATACCTCTGAATTCTAAAAGATGTATCAGAAATGTTTTGGTGCATCTAAATACACACTCTCCAATTTAACTATCTACAAATGGCTGCATCCCTTAAATGTTAACTGTCTGTTCTCTTAATTCCTAATCCTGATGGGATGGATGCAAGGGATGAGACTCAAAAGTTAATATATTTGTTTAGCATTAGGCCAGAAAACAGTAGAATCAAAGATATAGAAATATTATTTGGGTGCGTGAAACTCATTTTATATCCACACATAAGGGACTCTCTTCACTATTCATAGTAGATGCTTTGTTATCCATTAAAATAACCTTATCAGTCTTTCTGGATTGCATCATAGATGAAAGTGATACCAACAGATGGGATGAGAATTCCTATCACTTTCTTTTATTGGGTAACATTTCTAACTTGCATGTGACAAGTAAACTTCAACAGGGTCCTAGCTGAGTGATACAAGCCCTCAAATTATGGCTATTCTTGTTCTTTAGAGCAAGAGGTGAACTTACACTCAACATGTATAGTCACATCTCTAACATCAAAGCCATATTGGTTGGTAGCATTGCAGTGATAAATGCCACCATGCTCTGTCTGGACTCGCTGTGGTTCCCCGATGTCATAAAGTCTCCCATCTTTCCAGCACTGAACAGTCGGTGTGGGGTTTCCCAAGGCTGTGCAGGTAAGTGTTGTCGTACTTCCCTCCTTCCAAGTCCGTGTCTGGGGGCAGCTGGAATCATCCATTTTGGGAGCATCTAGAATGGAGAAGAAAATGTGGTTAATTTCACTGGTAATAATACTCAGTGCAACGTATCTTCTTTTGTTCTGCAAAGCTGCTGCACATTTGGTAAGCCTTTCAGAGTTCTAAATCTCTAGGAATAAAATACATGTATTTTTCCCCCAACTCACAGAAAACGGTGAGATTTTGAGATATGTTTTTTTCCTTGGCTTGTCCATCAATGATCAGGATGACTTGGCAGATGAATTCCCTCTCGTTATCCTCTTGCTGAGCGATCATTGCATGCTGTAGGAAATGTTCATTTATGTTGCCGGATGCTAAGGTTTTGGCAGCGTCCATGATCTGCATTTTAAAACCAGGGGAAGCACTGCCATCGGCGCTACATGTAATGTTCACTGTTTGATTGACGACAGCTTCTGAACTGCCAATCTGCAAGGTGAGCTTTGGTAAAGCTGTGAAGGAATAGAGCAGAGCAGTGATTATGCATCTAGATGGGCTAACTCCGGTGAGCTAACTTAATTATAAGAAATGGTCAACAAGTCCTTCTTTGGTGAATGAAGGTGAACATATGTGTCCCAAGATAATATTCCAGAATCTTAATCTGGATCTGTCACCAGGACAAGAAGTTTGGTCTTCCAAGCTTTTGGACTCGGGCTGGAGCATCCTCAGGGAACCTCTCTCTGGAATGTGCTTTTGGAATGTGTGAGCTCAGAAATTGTGTTCTACTGCTTCCAAAATATTTTTGATCTATGGCAGGGCTGCCGTGTACTTTGTTTCTTCCTTTCTCTCCCCACTGGAGTGCACAGACATCTTGTAACAAATGGGTACCCATATACCAAAAACATTTCAGAAGCAGTAGAACGCAGCTTCTGGGTTCTGCAAGTGGGCGCCACACACTGCCCAGAGGCTAACATACAAAGACAAATTATCCATTGTAAAAATCATTTGGAGGTGGGAGATGCTTCCTATGTAATCTAGCAGATCCCCTGCATGGATTGCCTCTGTGACTATGTAAAACAGATGGGGAGGAAGCTAGCCACCAGACTGGAAGAACACGAGCAAGTGGTCTGAGAAGGAAACCCAAGCTCATTGGTAGCCTCAGATTGCAATGAACAAGGACATACATTGACTTTTGCAGCTGCTAAGATGTTGGATGAGCAGGTATATTAAAACAGCCAGGGGAGTTATTGAAGTCTGGGAAACTGGGCCCCTCAACATTTAACAGGAATATGGATTTATCATCAGCTTATCAAGTACTTAGGAGGTGAGGGATTGGAAACAACAACCAATGCAGTGGTGGGATTAAATTTTTTTCACTAGCAGTTCTGTAGACGGGGCTTGGTAGGCGTGGCATGGTTTGGTGAGTGTGGCTTGGTGGGCATGGCAGGGGAAGGATACTGTAAGATCTCCATTCCTTCCCCAGTCCAGGGGAGGGATATTGCAAAATCTCCATTTCCTCCCCACCCCACTAACCTGCTTTCCAGCTCTATTCTCCTGTGCAGGGCAACAAAAGAAGACCCAGCCGATCAGCTGGGACTCAGGAGGCAGAGAATAGATGGGGGAGGGGCCAGTCAGAGGTGATATTTGCCAGTTCTCCGAACTACTCAAAATTTCCGCTACCGGTTCTCCAGAACTGGTCAGAACCTGATGAACACCACCTCTGAACCAATGACTTAATAGCCAGCCCTCAACACTCCAGTCAGCAGCTAAAAAAACCACACACAGCCAGGCACTGTACCATGCATAGAATAGCCCAAAGCGCACACTCCGCTAGAGAGAAGTTCCCTGAAGATGGGCTCAGCGCATGACTGAAAGCTTGGAAGACTAAACCTCTAATCCTGGTGACCAACCCAAATTGGATCCTTATTTTCTTTCTTTCAGTCAGTAAATATAGACAGTATGATTAAGATATTGGAGCAGAACAAGAGAGACACGTGATCAAAAGCACCCTAGCTATGGAAGTTTACCGGGCTTTCAGTCCAACATACATCACAAGATTCTTCTTGTGAGCCAAAACTATAGCTTGAGTTCAGGACTATATTTTAGAGGAACATATGTATGAATGGTTCACTAATATTGAGAAGAACCAAACAACGTTAGAAGGACAATTTTTTCCCACTTCTTCTTTTCTGTTATATATTTGGTTAAACCAGATTGATCCCTCTAAACTCTTTTTTTAATCTATCAACATGCAATACAATAATCTGATACTTGGGTATAGAAACAGACCAGCAAATAATTGGTTATATTTACTTCATTTACTATTTTCATCCTATGAAAGTTTGTCACTAAAATCATTTTAAAACTTAAAAATCAGAAACCAGAACAGATAATAGCTAGGGTTTTGTTTTGTTTGGTTGACAAATACACAGAAAAATATTTTAAATATTGGCCCTGCTATATTACCATATTTATGTAAATGTAAACTGTAAAACCAAGGTTGAAGCTAGATCTTTGTGGAATGCAGAGACACTGTCATCTGGCAATGTGAGAAAAAACATCTTCGAGAGAAGCTGTTTCTCAGTCATTTGCAATCAGCTTTCCCAAACGCCGGCATTCTATTCCATGCCTCATTCTTTCCATTGGCTTACATTAGATTCAAGCTCTATGTATTTAATTTGAATAGGAACATTGGTTTGGTTCACCCTTTAATAGTTGTTCTTCAGGCTCAATGAAAATACAACTGGGATAAATTTCCTTGTTTCTTCAATTCAGTTCCTTTCAGTTCAGCCACTTAACTATCCCATTTTTTAAACTGAAGTTTTGTTTTTCAAAATAAGTCACAACTTATAATAGGTGGAAAAGAACTCTTCTAAAACTCTCTGTGTTAGTATACAGATATGAGACTCACCAAACACATTCACCATCTTTGTCACGTTTTTGGTCACTGGCCCCAGAGAGACCGTGCAAATCAACTCATGATCTCCAACTGAGGAAGAGGCTATCACAGCCTGGGCACTTGCCAAGCCTCCCATCACAGTGGTGTTGAAGGTCAGGGACTTCCCTGCAAACCGCAGATCAAACACGGCCTCATTGGCTGGGGAAGCCTCAGGTGCATCACACGTCACTTTCATCAAGGTCCCAGCTTCTAAGAACAGGCCAGCGTGGAGCAGGGGAATATCTGCAAAATCTGCCAAGGAAGTACGAGAAATCATGTGTCAGTTATTGAAAAAGAAATCACAGCCACAAAAGTACCATCTCTCTAGCCCCTTAGGGGGTGAGTGCTGGGGCAACATCAGCAAACAAAAATCAAAACAATGATTGGGCCAAATTTTGGAGTATAAAAGGAAATCCAACAATATTTTTCAATCATCCCAGAAGATAAAAAATCTTTTTTCAAAACACCCTTAGATGTGCATTTTAAGAGAAGCAACAAAAATGAAAGCTTATGAACAATAGTCAAACAAGGGATTGAAGCAATGAAGGAGATCTCACCAAAACTTTCTAATGTTATGTTGTGGGAGGTGTTTTTCAAGAGTGGTCCAGTTGGATTCAGATCTAGAGATGTTTGGCAGGTAACTGTCTTGTGGTGGTCATGTTGCAGAGCTGTTATGAGATGGTTCACCACAACATCATTAGTTTTAGGGTCAGAATAATCCTCAAAGGTCTTTACCAGAAGTTGCTCTTCCCCTTTTAACAAGGTCACAGAGAGATTCCAGATTGGGGCTACACCAGAAACCCGGCATGTCAAGTTATACTGCTTGCCCACCTCCATCTTTGGAACTGTGTCCAATTTGACATGGTCTGGAGTTTCTGGAAGAGAATAAAAAAAATCTAAATCAATTTTTTTGAATGGATCAAAGTAATTATTTTATACCATTTTAGGAATGTATGTTCCTGTGCAGTCCAAGTAGTATGCCTGATTTCTGGTTGTCTTTGGAGGCACCAGAACATATTCCCTATCTTCTTGTAGAAGAAATATTCTTCTTTGTCACTTTTCAATGACAGAAACCAAAGGAAAGGTTTTATTTTTTTGCATAGAACTATGCTGGGGCTAGATTCATACAGTGTGCTTAACCCAAGTTAACAAAACACATCTGCTGTCTGTGCCCATGAAACATGCTATTATCGCATCAAATGGTAGTCTGTTTCATGTCACAAGATACAGGACAAGCTGAGTTTTCCACAGCCAGATGAAACAAAAACCACACAAACTCTTTTTTTTAATAATCTCATAATCACAGTCCCAGTGAGGAGAGTGGAAGGAATTTGCCTCAGGGGAAGAATTGATATTAGTTTGTTTGTTTGTTTGTTTATATTTTTCCTACCAACATAGCAATTTGAAAGCATGCAAATGCGAGTAGATAAATAGGTACCACTTTGGTGGGGAGTTAACGCATTTTGTTTCTTCAGACAACAGTGGTTCCCTCAGCTAAGAAACAGAGATAAGCCTCATCCCCTAGACTCAGAGTCAGATACAACTAGGCAGGGAAAACCTTTATCTTTTATTTATATTTCATATTTCTAAACTGCCCATTTCCTTCAAAGAGGGACTCTAGGTATTGTATGTTCGAGTAAGGTACCCTTTGAATCTGCATGCTCCTTCCAATTTTTTGCCATTTATCTAGCTAAAATCAGAAGCCCTTTGTGAAGGTTCTTTCTATTGATAAAATAGAATGCCATACACCAGATCCATGGCCACTACATTTGGCTAGTTTAGATTCTATAGATAAATGTCATGGTTGACACTCTGCTTCTTGATGCAACTGCATCCTTTCCTGAGTTTCTCCTGGCTCGGCTGGGTTCTGAAAGGCTGGGAGCCATCCTATTCCCACACAAAATCAAAGAGCTATAGTTCCCAGATTGTGTAACTTTGAGATGTGTGGACTTCACTTCCTAGAATTCTTAGTAAAGACCATATTGGTTGGAGAATTCTGGACTGGAGGTTAAAATCCAATCATCTTAAAATTCTCCAGTTTGGGTAACACTAGAGAATAATTGACACAATCCAGCAAGTGACTTACTGTAAACAATGATGTTTGCCTTTGGAGATTTCTTCTGTCCAGTCTTACAGTCAGCATAGCACATAGGGCTGGCTGCCCAATAGTCCACATTGCTGAGGCGAAATGCTTTCCAGTTGGATCCATTTTCTATGGGAACCTTTGTATAGGCAGACTCAATACCGATATTTTCACAAGTGCTTGTGCAATTCAGGTCTAGAGAGCCTCCAAATTTCACCACAGGATTTGGTGGCCAAATTTCCACATAATCTTCCTCTGCAGTTCCTGAAATCAAAACAGAGACAGCTGATGCAAAAATGAACTGAAACAGAGTGGAGGAAAAGTTAGAAAGTAATACTGAATAATAGGAAACCCAATGTGTGTCTAGTTCAGACATGGACCTGCAAACTTAAAGACTTTATTTGGAAATAAATTCAAACTGCTGTTTATATGCCACTCCAACTGTACCTGATGCCAGATTGCTTACAGATTCCCAAACAGTCATAAAATTAAAAACTCAACTATATGTGAGTTACTGAAGCTCTGAAGAATATCCACGGCCCACGTATGCAATCAACATCAATGAAAGAAGAAACATACCCTGAGCCCCCAAAACCTATTGAAACAACCAGATCTTAATAGCTCTACAGAAAGATAACAGAGTTGTGGCCCATCTGATATCAGGCTGGGGAGGTTGTCCTGGAAAATTCAGGCAGTGTCTGAGACAGTTCAACCCCATGATCCCTGCAGAGGCCTTTCCTTAAGGATGGGGATCCAGAGGGAGCCTTTTCTACCCAGATCTAAAAGGATGAGCTTAGATGGTGAAAAATGGAGGCTTTGAAGGTGACAGCCAGTCCTTTGAGTTGAGTTGGAGACTAAGGTAGCTCTCAACATTAATGTGGCTACAGTGGTCAAGCAAAAAATAAAAAGCCTTTAGTTTTAGATCCATTATTGGCTTGCACTAATATTTCAAAAAAGAAAACAAATGTCAAAAGTCACAATATCCTTTGCATATATATCTAAGATTTAATGTAATGCACACCTAGATATAAGTTAAATTCCAACATACTGTGTTATCTACTTCTTATGGCACGTTTCAAGTTATTTTTAATACCATTTTTGAAGCTAATTTAGATGAGATATGCAACCATTTTAAATTCTGACCATGTAAATAGTGGTAATATCATTGACTTTGAATAAAAATATCCCAGTTAATGGAAGAAGGCTTTTTAAACATCTCCTTGCTGAAACAATCAGTTTGTTAAATAGCAAAAGAAAGACATACCACTTTTTTCCACAAATATGGGAATAGTATGGGTTACTCTTAAAGTACTTATTTTACTACTAGCCTATCACCCCAGGCATAAAAAGATGCATGTGTCACAACATAGAAAATTGAACTCTAAGTGTTCAAGGAGTCTGTTGCAAAAAATTTTTAGGAAGCATATCATGCTTTTATGTTTACGAACCAATTTTATCACAGAATTTTTTTTTTGATGTAACAAATTTATTGAGAACAGGGAAAAAAACCTGAGAAATGAATGGGTTCTTGTATGAAATGTTTGTACAAAGTAAAATAATATCTTCTTTGGGAGCAGAATTGACCAATTATAATGAAATGAATTATTAATGTTTAGAATGTTATAAAATTTATGTACAACTGGCAAACACATAGATAATTTTAAAATTTAATAAACTTCCAGAAATTTCTGCTATACAGTCAAGTGTTTTGATTGAGGACCTAATGTTATACAAAATCAGTGACATTCCTGATATATTTTATCAGCCCTTGGAACATATGGGATTAGCCCTATGGGATAACCCATATGGAATTGGTAGCACCTGTATTTCAAACATTTAATAAAAATAAAGCCCTGCCAGCTTCGTACTACTAAGTTCTGCTCCCACCTAGTGCAATCATTACTCCCTACTTTCTTTGCTAAATACTGTTCCTAAGATTTTAACAGCTATATTGGTGAAAAGATTACTGAAGATATTACCAAAAATAACACAATAGGGTTTATAAAAGGATGTCAAGCTATAAAAACATTCTGGTTGAACTCTGATACAAATAAAGTTTTAGCTTAGCTGCAGAAAAAGTTTCCGATAAGGTGAGAAAAGCAAGCTTTTGGATCAAATGTTGGTTTAGAGTCCAACATGAGAACAGAGGGTTTTAAATTTTTTTTAGCAGTATTCAATCAAGAATGAGGAGAAGACCAGTTCCCAGAGACCTAGCATAGTTCAAAGACCAGGAATGAAGTGCAGAAAGCTGGACTGTCATAAAAAGTTATTCCAATACCTACTTCACCCACATGGAGAAAATTCCTAACCCCAAACAACTTGAAATCAGGAGATCTAGTGGAGCTCTTTCTGTGTAAGACTGTGTAAGACTAAGAGCTTTGGGGAAGGTTCTACTTTTGGTGTCCCAGATTGTGGATTGTCATCTCCCAGTTACTCCCAGACAGGGCTTCCTGATGTCAGCTTTTGAGGATATTTCCCATCCTCCTTTCTGATATTATTAAGGCATCCATTGAAGCCCCATCTGTTCATTTATGTCTTTCCTGTGTGACGGTTTTATTTATTTTGATTTGCATCCATTTTTTTTCTACCTCACTTCCATTTTCATATATGTTTTATATTTACAATTTACAGATGATTCTTTTTCAATTTCTTCATAAATTAATTGGAAATGGGATATAGACTTTATAAACAAACAAATAAGTGTTGAAGCAATCTTGATTTTCTCAGAGTTTATAGATCCAGCATACTGGTACCTAATACTTTCAAAATGTTGTAGCTGTGTGTTCTTGTAATATATGGTTGCTACTTTATGGTGTAGAGTCCTGACCCTAACCTCTCATAGAACTGGTTTTTTAGACTGATGCCTTCACTATTATATCAAACTGGTCAGAGGTGGTGTTCAGCAGGTTCTGATCAGTTCTGGAGAACTGGTAGTGGAAACTTTGAGTAGTTTGGAAAACTAGCAAATAACACTCTGACAGGAGATTTTACAGTATCCTTTCCCTGTCACACCCACCAAGCCACGCCCACAGAACCAGTAGTAATTTTTTTTGAATCCCAGCACTGAAACTGATGCTCTAAGTAGCTTAGTTGGGGATTTTTATTTATTTATTACAGAATAAATGGATAATATCCTTGTTCTGTATATCTTCCATCATACAAACATTGAGAATTAGCATTGCAAAGTAATCAGCTGAAATCTGATCCTGAGTATTAATTCAAGGGCTTGGATTTCACTCTTTCTGTTCAATGGACCATAGACTTTCAGTGGAGAAAAATTACATTGGCCCCTAGGATGTCCGGCAGCAGAAATCTGAAGAAATGATTGTTCAGCTACCCCTTGATTTCCAACATTTTCCTAAAATAAACAAAAAGTCTCAGCCAATGTCCAACTGCACTTCATCACAAAGCAGTTTCCAATGTTTTTGCTTTCAGTTCTTGCCGTTGAGCTTGATCAGAATTTTGATAGCATTCTTAAAGCAGACACAAATCAATTGGAAAGTAATGTACAGAGAATATTACAGCAAGAGGAGTTTTACTTTTTGTTTACTTGGTTTCCGAAGATCAAACAAATGTTAAGAATAAAGAAGATTATAATCAATAATACAGGAAAGTGAATGGAGGTCAACAGGTCAATCATGGAGATTTCTTACAAGATAATTTCTCCCCGTCTACTTCAATTTGATTTTTCTAGTCAATCCCTTCTTCACAAAACATGTTTCCTTCTCAATTTTTTTTTCCAAAATAGAGACACCTTTGAAAAAAGCGCGGAAAGATTACAAATGTTAATAAATGATAATCTTAACACAGCCCGGATCAATCAGGCTTCTTTCTTACTGTAAGCCATTGATCCATAACATATCCTCCTAGCCTGGGGTTCATTAAAGACACTATCTGGAGAAACTGGGGACTATGTGCTAGTGCTATATGGCCAGTCCTTGATTTAGGTTGTAGACTTGTAGTCTCAAAAGCTTAAAGAAAATGATATGAGTGGAAAACTAATACAGACTTTTTGTTGAAAGAAGAAAAGACTGAAGAGATGGTTTCTGGGTTGGCGGATTAAAAAGGTCAAAAGAAAATGTTTTAATTATTTATTAATATACTGTATGTTAAAAATATAGGGGGAGACAGATAGAAAGAGAGTGGGGAGGAAAGATTTGGGTCTGCTGTCATAGACGTTAAACTATAGAGCTACACTTAGGGCAGGGAGATAGTGAAAGAGAAATACATGCTTTGCTGGCTTCTGATACTGCCAGTCTTATTTTTTCTAAGGACTGGCTACCTAGCCTAGCCATTTTGTGAAACAGATAACAATTGTTTTTACCTTTTAATGCTCTTCTATATACTGACATGTATAAGTGCTTGACGAATCAAAGTCAGAAAGGAAGAGCCCAAACATGCCCCAACATGCTTGTTACAATGTTTTCCTGTTCTTATAGCATCTCTGATAAAATTAACTTATCCAAAAATTGCTGTTTTGGATCTCATATTCAAATCATAGTCTAGGGTTATCCTGACATAGCAGCAAATCTGGTCAAGGTTTGCTCAAACCACTTCCAGGAAATGTGCAATATGGACATTATTCCCACTTCCCACTAAAATTACGTTTTATCAGGCTCCTTCTGAATACTTGTTTCTCTTTTTCGTGCTTTGCCCCACCATATCTGAGAGAATGCTGGTTTTCGGAATGGAAAGAAAATATGCCTTTTGAACCCCTCAGACCTCAGACCTCCACTAATGCTGGGGATGAAGCCACATCCCTGGGGTGCAGAAATCCAGGATGAAAGGGCTCACTGTGAGATGGGGAGAATCAATGGATCTGATTAATTTCAGAGAGGCACCAAATCAGCAGGAGAAACATGGAGATTTCCTTTCTTACCTTGAGTAACAGCCCAGGCTCCTACAGCAAACAAGAAGATAAATTTCTGCATGTTGCACTCTCAGTCTCTTGGGTTGGCTGTGGTCTGGGTTTGGCCTGAGAGAGGCAGGCCAAAATCTGGATCAGTCCAAACAGAAGGAGAAAACAAGGAACAGAGGCAGAGTGAGCTCTACAGTCAAAGCTGCAAGAAGCACATTTATCAACTGTGTCTGCCAAGCCCTGTTAACGTTATGCAGGAAGTACTTGCTTCCTCCCTATTGAGGCTCACTGAGCACGTTCTTCCGGCCCTGGCAGCCTTAGTTTTCCCGCCCAAGAAATCACCTTTTTTCCCCTGATCGCTGAAATCTAAGTCACTCTTTCAATAACCTTTCTTGGTCAGCCATTCTCAACCATTCGCTACCAGTCTCCATTATTCATATTTTGTATGTCAAGTGACCATAGTCTTTTTTTTTCTTAGCATTACCTCTAAAAATACCCATAGTTTTCCATTTTGATATGTAAATATGTCTAATACTAATTCAAATGCTAATGAATTTCCTTTGGGTAGTTCTTGATGGTTTCACTTTTTGTTTTCCCACAGTTGACTCTCTCCATTTTATAACCTAAGAAGAAGGAAATTGTACCTTCAATTTTGGGGGTGCACTGTCTGAGAATGCTAGTGTGTTTGTGAGTGTGCGTGCATGTGCGTGCGTGCATATAATATACTTTTATATTCCATAAATAGATCAAATATTGCTATCTTATGTCAAGACACCTGCTTTATATTTTAAATTAATATGCATGACTGATAATCAAGAAAGCATTTCCTGTTTCAACTTTCCCCCCGGATTTTACCCCTGAAGAGTACAGTAATTGGACACTCCTCCTGCCACACACACTTGAATGTTTCCATCCTAATGAGTCAGGTCCCCAAAGCCATCATCAAATGCATTTAGATCTATTTAATCTCATGAAGTGCTCGTGGTAAGGAATGAGAGATACAGTTTGAACAAGCCAGAGCAATTGGATGCACATCCACCAGATTGTGATTGGTCTATTTGGTCAAAAGCAAGAGTCCTTTTCCAATTTTACTGGGGATCTGACTGCAGGACAATCCAGTCGATTTAGCTCATAAGGGCCATTTGTATAAACTTACATTACAAACATGACACTATTCCTTATACGGCCAACAGCTCATTACTCTGTTCACCAGCACAACACGATCCAGTTGTGTCTCCAAAACCGTATTTTTTTTCTGCTTTTTTTTTTCTTTTTCATGAAGCTAAAAGGCTTGCAATAGTTCTTGTCCAACATCCAGTTTATTTTCCCCTTCTTCTCAGGATTACAAGGTAAGGGTACATTTAAAAAAAGGGTCTAAGCCTACAGAATAACAGAGCAGGAGGTGACCTTGGAGGTCTTCTAGTCCAGGGGTCGCCAACCTTTTGGACCCCAGGAACCACCAAACTCATAATTTTAAATCCTACGGACCACTAATATGAATGTTGACTGATGGTGGCTTGCTGACGTTGGTGGGAAAGTCGGTCCCATATTCCAGAGCTGCAGTAGTCACAGGACTGGCCCTTTGGTCATCCCAGAGCAACTACTGCTCCACCCGGGTACACCGGCCTGCCATGGACTGCAAGAGCTGCTCTGGGATGACGAAAAGGCCAATCCTGTGACTACTGCAGCTCTGGAATATGTGACCAACTTTCCCACCAACATCAGCAAGCCACCCGGGGCGGATTTCCCTCCCATGCCGTTGGTCTTACCTTCCAGTTCCAGCTCGCGTGGCTCTACTCAAGGTAAGGTTTATGCTTGACTGAAGGGTGGGGGCCAGCGGGTGGGTGGGCTATGTGGGCGGTGCAGCCTTCTGTTCCCGTGCAGCCTGGATTGCTTTGGGGGGGACATTTCTCTGTGGACCACCAAAATTTTCTCGTGGACCACCAGTGGTCCCCGGCCCACCGGTTGGCAACCACTGTTCTAGTCCAACCCTCTGCTGAAGCAGGAAACCCTATACAATTTCAGTCAAGTGGCTGTCCAATCTCTTCTTAAAAGCTTCCAGTGATGGATCACCCTCAACTCTGGAGTCAAGTATGATCAGTTGTTCTCTTAGGAAATTTCTCCTTAGTTCTAGTTTGGATCTCTCCTTGATTAGTTTTCATCCACTGCTTCTTGTCCAGCCCTCTGGTGCTTTGGAAAATAGGCAGCCCCTCAAATATTGGAACACTGCTATCATGTCAACCCAGTCCTTCTTTTCTCTAGTCTACCATACCCAGTTCCTGCAACTATTCTTCATATGTTTTAGCCTCCACCCCCCTAGTCATTTTTGTTGCTCTTCTCTGCACTTTTTCTAAAGTCTCAATGTCTTTTTTATATTGTGGTGACTAGAACTGATGCAATATTCCAAGTGTGGTCTTACCAAGGCATTATAAAATGTTACTAACAGTATGCATGATCTTGATTCTATCCTTCTGTTAATGCACCCTCTTAATCAACTGCGTTGACTGTTTTTGGCAGATGCAGCACACTGCTGGTTCATATTTAAGTGATTGTCCACTAGAACTTCAAGATCCCTCTCACAGTTACTACGATTGTGTACCTGTGATTTGGGTTTTCTTGCCTAAGTTAGAAGCTTACTTTTGTCACCATTGAGAGAAAAGCTTATGAGGGAGCTGAGAGACTTCACTGTATTTTTCTACTTTGCAACCTCCAGTCTGAGGTACAGAGTTTAGGCTGAATGCCTGGGCTCTGTCCTGGGCCCACCTCTGGGAACCAGTATGTTCCATCTGCTTTCTTGTGGCTTCCTGTCCCCTCCCCTTTCAAGGCCTGGCATTTAAGAATTAAAGGACTTAAAGGGCATGGTAAAAAAAGGAAGGAAGGAAGGAAGGAAGGAAGGAAGGAAGGAAGGAAGGAAG